CTTCCAACTCAGTAAGAGAATCTTTGCAAACATTTGCTCTTTTTTCAGGTTTTTTTTTTTTTTGCTTTTTTTCTGAAGTCTCACCTGGAAAGGATTTTACTTGTAGTAAACTTATAAGCAAGCCTTTTTCACAAGAAAAATATTTCAAAGCAAAGGGAAATTATTTTCTGCATTGTGATAACTTGTATCCGTGGCTATGCCATAAAAAGATGAGGCATTTAGATCTTTGATAACTTCTGTAATAGCAAACAGAACTTTTATATTTTTATTATCTTAGGACATTTTGTCCTGGAATTTGAACATTTGCTTGCAATTTTGGAGTCAGAAAATACTTCTGAAAGCAGTACATTCAAACAGCTGTTTGACCTGAGTTATAGTGATATACAGTGTGGGAGGCCATTACAACTTCTGCTGCCATTATTTTATCTTCACCTGAATTTCGCATAATCAAGAAATTATTTTATCATTTGCTTTGGTACTAGTTGAGGAAATCATACATATCTGAGGCTAAGCTGTTAGTGTTTGCTGGTTTGTATCTAACTTTCTGACATATCTGAAATTGAATGCACTGCATACTGCACAAGGAACTTCAAAATTTTGACTTTTCCCTCATTTAATAAAAGTCCACTCATTATAAAGTTTACACTTATGTTTTGGCATTTTGGGCTTTAAATATATACAAATAAGACACTGATAAGAGCAACTACCAGAAGAATGGAAAAGGTTGGATCTGATAACCTCACAGCCATATCAGTGTATATGTCACAATTATGAACTCACAACTAACCAGAAACAAGGGTTGAACCATTCAAAGGGTTGCAAACTTGAGACTAACAATAAACGCAACTCAATATGTTGCAAAAAAAGGTGCCCTAACCCTTTGTTTACAAGGTAGAGCTGTTTGTATAAGGAATAGTCTTCCAGGTTAAAGCCAGAGTTGATTACACACCAAGTTTCAGGAAGCCTGTCATTCAAGGATTGGTGGACTGTCAGTAGCTGGGGTGTTTAGGAACTGACTTTCAGCTGTGTTAGTGTGGTCACTGGAGTCAGGCTGCTTTTGGCCAGCATACTTTCAGAAGTCTGAAAGGAGGATCAGAGCATCTCTGAGGAGTTTTTCCCACCACCTGGCCTCTGATTCTTCATATTCCAATGTATGGGGATGATACAGGATACTCGAAATTCTTAGGGTACGTTTATCTCCTTCCTCTTCTTAATCCCTCCCAACCCAATCATTCACCAGGTGCTGCTTACCGGTCTGCCTTCAAAATCTCCCCCAGCTCCTCCCTTCCTCCCACAATCCACACTGCCCTACTGCCTGGTCCCAGCCTCATGCTCCCAGACTGGGACTACTACCCCAGTCTCCCTCCTGGTCTCTCTCCCCAAAGGAGCTCTCCCATCCTTGGGCTCCTCACTATCCATCATACACTGTGTTTTTTCTCCAGAGTGCTCATCACAACCTGAAGTTGGCTCATTTAAATACTCTATTACTTGGCTGTATGCACCATCAGCTCGAGGACACTAGTATGTTTTGTTCACTTGGTAACATCCATGTAGCAGCATGCTTGTCATGTAGCACCTGCTCAAGAAATACCTGGTGAATATTTGTTAAATGAAAGGAAGGATGTGTGGAAGAGTAGGAGTAAGGGGATGAAAGGATGAGTGGTAAAAGAATGGATGGATGGAAGGATGAATGGAGGGATGAAAGGGTGGGTGGAAGGTGGATGGATGGATGCATAAGTGGAAGACTGCATGGATGGGTGCGTGCATGAAAGCTTAGATAGATGAATAAAAGGGTGATGGATGAATGAAAGGTTGAAGGGACGGATGGGTAGGTAGGTGGATGGATGAAAGGGTGGGTGGAAGGTGGATGGATGGATGCATAAGTGGAAGACTGCATGGAGGGGTGCGTGCATCAAAGCTTGGATAGAAGAATGAAAGGGTGATGGAAGAATGAAAGGTTGAAGGGACGGATGGGTAGGTAGGTGGATGGATGAAAGGGTGGGTGGAAG